ATGTTCAAATACGTTAAAACACGCAAATGTAAATAAAGTTAAATTTAAATAAAATTCTCAAATGTCATTAGTAATTTCTATGTATTCAGTTATGTAAGTATTTTAAAGCAACATTATCAGTTATTATTCTGATTTAATGTATACAGTTTGAAAATAAAATGTATAAAAATTGTTTACTAAAAAATTATTTATATTGTCCTACTTTTCATGATCCAAAAATGAATATACAAAAACCCGCCCTCATACTTATTATCTTTTGCATCCTTTTCTCTTCGAGGTTTCCATTCAATAATCACTTCTCCTCTTTTGTATCGTAATTTTCTTCGTGAATGAATTAATTTTCGCTTTTTATCAAGAGGATTTACTTCCGTATCTACATCATCAATATCAGTTACCACTAAAGTAACTTTTGATCAGAATCGTTAAATCATGTGATTGTGATTCCGTATTGTTTCCGGTGTTACCTGGATTTTTTCACTGATCGTGACACCAGAGATATAAGCTGTAGATGTATCCGACTCCATAGACCAGCTTAAGAATACCAAGTCATCAAAGGAAAGGGAAATGGATGCTTTCTTAGATAAGGCGCATAAGAAAAAGCATCAGTGATGAAATGAGAGAAGAGAAGCTTCAGCATGAATCATCTACTCAGATATTTCTAACTCACAGAACCGTTGCCTCTTTCTTTTTAGGATGTTCCTTTTCCATACATAATTCCCATTCTTTGATTTCTACTTTGCTTCTTCCTCAGAGATCGGTTGAGACAGAACTGAAATAATCAATGTAGAGCAAGTTTGATAAAAATCAAATTGTAGAACAAGGGCTAATACGTGAATTGTCTTCATCCATACCGCCTGAAGATACCGAAACTATCTTGTTTCTAACTTTGGCTTAGTTCAAATCACTCGCTCTCTATTCGTGTTTATATTAAAGTAAGTTGCTCTCTGTTTATAGTAGAAGTTAATTATTAATTATACGACTTAAGATGTTTGAGAAGGTTCAAGGAAAAGATAACTCGTAGTATTATGATATAAATGCAAACAACTTTTTTTGCAGAAAAAGTTTTTTTCGGTAATAGGTATAACCACGATATAGAATTTTTAAAAAAAAGAAAAAAATTGAAAAAAAGATTAATTTTACTCGATAATCACAATGTCCGTCATTATATTGATCAAATTTTTTTCTTTAGAAAATCTATTGAGATCAATGGTAAAAAAGAAACTTATTTTCGAAATTAATCATAACAATGTGAGAAAAATATTAATTTTACTTGGCCATGATTTAATCACAATATCCATCATTATATTAATCATATTTTTTTTTTCTCCTTAAAAAAATTTGTATCATATGATGTAATAATTTTACTTGGCCATGATTTAATCACAATATCCATCATTATATTAATCATATTTTTTTTTTCCTTAAAAAAATCTGTATCATATGATGTAATAAGATCAATGGCAAAAAAGAATTTTTTTTCTTTTCGTAATTAACATATTAATCATAAATATAATTATGATGCAAGAAAAAGATTAATTTTTTTCGATCACGATGTGGTAAGATCAACGCAAAAAAAAAGGGATAAAAAAAATTTTTTTTTTTTTTTATTCAATTAATTATTTCTTTTTTTTTTTTATATTTAGATATTTGTTTTTTTTTTGACTTGCATTTTTTAACTATCATTAAAATGTCTTCTCAAGATTTTGATAAAGAACAAGGAATTCGTAAAAAAGGCTCGCTTATTAAACATTGGCAGCCATCGCAACCGCAATATCAACAACCTCAGTCTCAACAACTGCAACAATCTCAACCCCAAAC